CCTGCCCGAAAAACATGAAGTTATTGGATTGAAGCGACACAACCATACACGTTAATATCTAATGTTTGTTTATAATGAAAACCTTTCCAAAGTAAAGAAGATGTGTTCTATCAAAAGCACGACGAACTTAATTTGTAATGTAAGTATAAGGCAATGATTGGATATATTGGATAAAAGTAAGTTTTGGGCATTTTCTTCAACAAATATCATTAGGGTTGCATAACTCTAAGCTACACTTTGGCAAGGGCCAAAGATGACAGTCGTTAGATAATTAAAAGAGGAAGAAACATTACGTTATGTGTTAAGGTTTGTTTTGAACATGAGACGAATCTTTAAATAAATATGTTAAACTTTACGCAGGCCTCTGAAAATTTCTGGTGCAGTTGCTTTCTCCCAATCATCAGTACGCAAATTGTTTGCCCGTTCTCTCGCTGGCAATTTCGATGTTCAGTGAAACATGATGAATTTCCAAGTTCAATCTTACGACATTGATGCGAAATTGCAAAATGACCTAAACACAGCCTGCCACGGTTTATCTGGATAACAAAAAAACTTCAACATTTCTTTACTGTATAAATTAATACTAAAATGTTTAATCTGGAAAATATTCATGTGCGAAAGAACATGAAGACAAGACGGATGATGGACGGATAAAGTTGGATCACATGCGACTTTAATGTACCATAAAGTTTATGATCGAGGACGAATGAGCTTGCAAAAACGAATTGAAGTCAGGTATGGTAATGGTTTTGCCTGATGAATTTCAAAAAAGAACATAAACAGATATCGACCGCAACCAAAGTAGACCAACATCTTTATGAAGTTTTGCGTATTTCAACAGAACATAAGAGTAACCATTCAGGGTGTGTTTTCAATCGTAACAATAAATTATGTAAAAGCTAGAAGAATTCCCAATATCTTCGATTTTCTAACTTTATAAACAAACCAGCTTACAAGAACAGAAGCAATTACAATTCCTCGCGCTTATACAGTATTCCATATAAGCCAATCTCATTTATCTGGCTATACGCTGTACCTCTTAGCCTACGAGGGTGTACTAAGTTTGTTTGGATGTATGCAACATATAGACGGACTTGAGATAGATCTAACTGTTATTATACCGAGTGATTGAGAAACACTTTCTGCATCACTTTCACTTTAAAATCACTTTTTGAATCGGTCTAAGCTTGTCTGCCCGTCTTGTTTTCTTTTATTCAGGCTGCAAGACGCAATTTTTGAGATATTTTGATCAAACATGGCATGAACTACCGGTGTGTTTTGGCCTAAGGATGAGCATGAAAATGCTACGAATCGTTCTGTTTTTTGATCGCTTCCCATAAAATTCCTTATTTTGAAAAGTCGTTGCATGAATGAACTCTCTTAAAGGAAGTAGTGTAGTATATTTAACAATAAGCCGTCTCCCACTACAGTGTTTGTATGTGTTAAAATAATTATACGTGGTATAAAAGTAAATGCAATAACAAAAGTAGAAATAGTTTGATTAAAGTATTTGCAGTCAATACGATAAGAATCAATTGAATCCTGTTGCTAGCGTTTCGATTTAAAAATCACCTTTATATTAAAGAGATTGTGTAAAGAACTTGTTGAAAAGTTTTAGAATTGATTTTTTTTCGAAAACAAAGTAATTGTAGAAAGTTTTTTGAATGATTTGTAATTAATACTCCGTTAGAGGAATTGACCCTTTATTGGCAATATAATAAAAAAGAAATGTCTTGCAAATTTACTGTAATTTACTGCAATACCATACTGCATCTGCTATTTAATACGGAGAAGAGAAACATCCATAATTTTCGTTATACGTGGTTTCCTGTAACAGGGCGGCCTTAAAAAAATTAGATCTCGTACATTTTAGAAGCGATTTATTTTATCAACCGCGTATTTTGTTATCTCATGCATAGGAAATACTGTATGCCCATCGAATGTTTGTCGGGCTACTATAAGACCTTTAAAAGCTTAGAAAAATGATCAAAAATACCAATTTGGACTTCCTAGCCACTTATTTCTTATTTGTTCTTAACCCTTGAATACTGCAAGAGCTAATTTGCTGAGTTTTTCAAAAATTTGGTATAAAAAAACGATTATAAATCTCCAAAATTTGATGGCGACTTTTGCTTGCATGAAAGAAGCTTTAAATACATATGTTTCATTCTTCTGTACGTGTTCCAATTTTCATAATGCCGGTGACATAAACGTAATGCCACTGAAATGAGCTAATTTGACCCATAAATTGTGTGGCAACGCCAGTCACAAAAATTAAGATAGAAAGCTAAAATTTC